TGAATTTTCCTTTACTTTTTCCCGTTAAAGTTCATTTCAGCAGTTTTACAACCAGACTATTATCAGAGATGTAAAACACCGGCAAATATCTTCCTCGTGTCTATGCTTGCGGCACTCTTATATTATTCAAAGGCTTCCTCTAACTGGTGTAAATCCCTGGGGATTTCTGATGCGCCTACTTATAGCCGGAGATGTTGCTTCCAATCCCGGTCCTGGCTTTACAAGCAGCCCTTCAAAAGATGATGTATCAGATGCCTTCAAGCCAAGGGTATGCATATGGTACATCTAAATGCTCAGTCACTGCCACCTAAATTATCTCTACTAAAAATAATAGCAGCACAATATGATCCAGCTATCATTGCGATAACGGAATCCCACCTTGATGATTCCTTCTCGAATAACGAAATAAGTATTGATGGTTACTCACTTCACAGACATGAGAAATCGGGAATGTGGAGGCACTCTTATCTACATCAAATTGCAGCTATCCTGGAATCCCCGCACAGATTTGGAGCAACCGAACCTTGAAATTGCATGGGTGGTGGAGATACTTATTGCCTAGAAACAAGCTGATACTCGTAGCATCCTGCTACCGGCCACCAAGCCAGGAAACCGACTTTCTAAAGGGTTTTGAATCTGTATTGTCAAATCTGCCTAATGACAACGAAATTTACATTCTCGGGAACCTGAATATTTGGATTTGAGCAACTCAATGAAACTCCTACAAGAATAAACAATACTATGTATAAAAAACGCCGGAAACGAACGGAAGCATCACTACTAGATCACATTCTTTGCAATTCCAAGGACAGGGTCAGTAATTCTGGTGTTATTAAAAACAGCATCAGCGACCATTATATGACTTTTTGTACCAGAAAGATAAATAAAACCATTTTTAATTGTCATAGATAAATAACTATTAGATCTACAAGGGGTTACAACATTGATAATTTCATTCACGAATTAAACAATTTAGACTGGTCTATGATTACTTCCCCGCAGATGTAAACAGCGTTTGGTAGTACTTTTCTGACCTTTTCATCAAAGTACTCGACAACGTGGCTCCTTTGAAAACAACCAGAATCAAACAACGTACAGAGCCATGGATGAATAATGAAATTCTTAATCTAATTTACCAGAGAGAAACTTCAATGAAGTGGTTGGAGCGATTAATGAAAATAAAAATAATCCTTACAAAATGTGGAATACGATCAAAGATTTAGGCTACTCTACCAAAGATCAATCTAAGATTACCCTAAAAGGAGACAAAATATATTTTGGTAACAAATCTGTTGCCAATGTTCAACAAGTTCTTCACTTCCATCACTACTAAACTTATTAATAGCTTACCAACCCCCACAGATGCCTTTAGTAGTATATCTGAAATCTTTAAATCATATTACCGTCGGGACAACGATAGTCATTTTGTTCTTCAAGAAATTGAGGTTGACTTTGTCCGTACTGAGCTTCAGAAACTCGATTCTTTCAAGAGCACAGGTTTGGACGGAATTCCAGCCCGTTTCCTGAAAGATGCAGCTTGTGTAATGTGTGTGCCTTTGACACACATAATTAATAGATCTATAACTACGGAAACAGTTCCCTCGGATTTAAAATCTGCTGAGGTTAAACCACTCCATAAAAAAGGTAATAGACTGGATCCAGGTAACTTCAGACCAATTAGTATATTACCTTGGCTAAGGCAGTCTTAGTACAGCTTAATGAATATCTGACATCAAATAACTTATTGTATAAATTTCAATCTGGCTTCAAGGGCAGCTACTCTACTGACACACATCTTATCTACCTCCAAGACTATCATCAATACTATCACATATCATCGGGACTTCATGTAGAGATGATCCTTTTGGACATCCAAAAGGCATTTGACAGTGTCAATCATAACAAGTTATGTTCTAAACTAGCTGCCCTTGGAGTCAAATCAATTAATTGGTTCAAATCGTATCTTAAAAATAGAACTTAGACTGTGGAGATTAATACATTCCTTTTCTGATCAAATGACAATCAATACTGGAGTACCCCAAGGAAGCCTCCTAGGACCATTGTTATTTTTGTGCTATATCAATGACATGCGAATTGCCTTTGAAAACCTTCTTTTATTACAATATGCAGATGACTGTGCTTTAATTAATGCAAATAAATCTCTTGACAAAGTTCAAGAAAATTTAAGTGAAAACCTAGAATGAATGTCTAGTTGATAATAACATGTCGTTACACTGTGGCAAAACCGAACTTATTGGTTTCGGTTCGAATTTTAAAGTTAAAGAATCGAAAAATATGAGTATAAATTGTAGGATCCTAGGCCAGATGGTCGAAATCCAGTTTGCCGAATGCCAGATTACCGAGACCACTTTGCCGACTCAAAACAATGAATCCCAGTTGGCCGAAACCCAGTTTCCTAACCCAGTTTGCCGAAAGTCAGTTAAAAGCAGTGGAACATTAACAGCAGCATAAAATTCACGATTGAATACTTACTCTTACCATGGACCTAATTAATAGGCCCTAATAGGTCCATGTTCTTACCACTACTGCATCTGTACGATGGTGGTGACACCATTGTTTCTCCAGTGTTAACGGCTACATTGGTTTATATGTTTTGAGGCATCTCCTGCC